CATGTGCCATAATTGTTTTAGTGGATGATGAAATGACACATTTGGTGACATGGAGGGTTGTATGTTGAGATAATTAGAGTTAGCGGGAAACAACTATTTAGATATAATAGATGAGGGAGTATGCTAGAATGTGCTTGGCTCGCGTGTGTATTGAGTTGCTGCTTGTCCTGCTTTTCAGGGCACTTGATGTAGGAAGGTGTTGTGTTGACGTGCCATAGTACAAGTCACATGTGTAATCAACACAGCAGCGAAGATGCAATAATTGTAAGCCTACCTTTCTCTTTTATAAAAGACTTGAGAGATACATAGCACAGAAATGACGTCATGTATCCTATGATAAGTGAATAGCCCAGCAACCTTTGATTATGAGATTGGTCCTCCTGTAGGCCACATGCTATGAGTACTTTGGACGAAGATTTCCCTGACCCTTTTCCTCTTCTAATTACTAGCATAAATGCCCGTGCGTTGTACAAAAATATATTTAACCACACTCCCCTATCTAAATAAGTATGACCTAAAACACAAGTGATTATTTGATTTATGATCCACATCTATTTCTAGTATGAAGAAAAAAATATGGTTTCAGCCTAAAAAATGTGTTCGGGTTGTGGCTTTCCTAGTTTTGTCCCGCCTCCCTATTTCAGGTGCTATCCACCCACACTGGTATACTAATTGTATGTTTGTGCATCGCTATGGAGAAAAAAAGTATCCCCACATCTTTCTTGATAACAACCACCATGCACCAAAACACCCACTAGAACACCGTAGTTGCGGCACCACATCATCTTGATGGTGCCGTCTGACGAGGAGGTGGACGTGTCTTCTTATCTGACTGCCATCCATCCCGATGATGATGTATCAGAATTGCGCTACAGCGTGATATTATAAGATAGAGACATAGATTAATATTAGATAGACATTCTTACAATCCAAAAGTCAATGTGTCCTCCTGAATTGCTGGCCCATGTGCCTACGTACAGGCCCAGCTTCTCTCCGTCTCCCTCTCTCTCGCGCGCACACACACTCCTTGCCGCTGCTTCCAATCTGAGGCACATCACCACATGTGTGCACATCGGCAGCGTAAATCCCCGCCCCACCGCCGCTGCATAATTCCCCGTGGCCACCAACTACATCTTCCTCAAGGACTCACTACTTGTGATACCATGTTTTCTCCTCTCGTCAGCCCACAATCACTATCTCTATCTCTATCTCTACTACTTAAAAAGAATGTAAGGTTTTCGTTTCACCCTCTCCTTCGTCTAAACTCTCTCTATATAGTCCCGTTTTCCCTTCTCATGTTTGATTTTTTGTCCCATCTTTGATTTTTCTCCCAAATAATAATATTCTTCTTTGGTAAGTTAACAAAGTCTTACCAAATATGTGCTCAACAATAAGATGGCGTTTTTCTTCCCACCTTTTATCTTTCTCCTAAGTAATATTTTCTTTGGCAAATTAATAAATTCTTATCAAGTGCTTAACAATAATATGACATGTAAATCATAGCAATTGCATACAAAAACTTGCTAAGATTTTAGCGCACCAATTTAATAATTGACATTCAATCACGGCCTAATCTATTAGAATATTTTTTTCCAGGGATAATCTACTAGAATGTTTATACTCCTATTGCAACGCATAGACAATTATCTACTCGAGTTATAATCCGTCATTAAATTATCATGCACGTATGAGTGTCATGCAACGTGCAGCCCATCTCTCCTTGCATGTGAGAATATATCCTTTGCAGTATGTGCATGCGCGCTCATTGCCAAGGGATCCGGCTTGCCTGCTCCCTGCCCGTGCTCCCATCCGTACTCCCACTTAATCCTACGACTGTCTTTTTTCCTTTTTTCTTTCTAATCTAATCATCTCCCCCCTGATTTTAAGGGGGTGGGGCCGGGCCTTATTTTGTTCCAATCAAATCAAGCCACATAGACGGGAGCACAAATGGGCACACGACGAGGGAGCAGGCAAGTCTCATCCATTGCCAAGTCCCTCGTCCATTCTCACAGTCCTTTTTAGGCGTCTTGATTGATGATATCCTAGGTAACTTGTGTATATGAGTTGGTGTGAATCGGTCTAAATGAGCGAGGTAGGACTATTTTCAAAAAAATATCGATGCTGAGTTGGTTGCTCGAGCCACGTTTCTTCGACGGGCCGAAGGTCATGAGTTCAATTTTTCTCAGGTGACTCAGCGGCCCATAAGAAAAGGCCCAACGATGGAACAACATGATCCAATACGGGTGATGTCTGTGTGTGCGGACGAAAACGCTACTTATGAACAGACTGCGGGTTGATATCTCACAAGTGTGAGGGTGTTTTCGGCAAAAGTGTATGACGGACCAAGAGTATCACCTTCCTTTATTAGTATGTATAAATGTAAATTGTTCAAATCTCATGGAAAATAAAGTCAAGACAACCAATGTTCCATCCTTGAGAAAATGCAAGCTAAGTAGAACCAGCATTGCCAGTCCAAATGTCATGTTGCATTGTAGTACATACCAACGCCTCCTTTAGCCATGTGATACCTTCCTCATAGCCTTCCCCGCACGTGTTTCAAAATGGAATATGATGATGCATATTTGCACAGGAAAATATATACTACGACAACATTTCAACAGCTAGCAAAAAGAAACTCCAATTCATGTTTCCATATGTTTTGAAATAGTGTCAGGGACATTCACAAAGGCTGGAACATCAATCAATCAATGTGATCACAATGGCACTGCGTGAGTACATCTAAATTGTCCAGATGATGATCAAGAGGATTAAGGGTCACACGATGTCCACACTCATGGAATGAAGTTCACAACTCGCCACCAGGAGCAGTAGTAGTGGATAGATAACCGAACAAGTGGTTTTGCGAGTCTACGAAGCTGAAGGAGCATCTGAGTATTAGGTTCAATGACGACGATTGCATTTCTAGGGCGTTGGTCCCTAGGAATACCTTCACAAAGACTTGCTGACTTTCACCAACATGGTTAGGCCAACACCGTTAGAAGAGCAACGATAGCAGCGCGTCGACGACTCATTCTGGTGGTGCTAGTGGTCGTTCGGTGGTCTGGGGACCTCGGTGGATTTTATTATTATTTTTTGTGTGTTTTGTACTTCTAGTGAACTTTTATAATAGGTCTGAATCTTTTGTTGCAAAAATAAAATGAAATAAAAGATGACACTACTACTATTCTCTAGATGACATGAGATGGCGTATAAAACAACCGAAACAAGGCGCGCAATGCTTACTAGGTGGACGATATGGAAAACACCCTCTCAGTAGCATAACAAGGAGTTCATGGCGGTTTCCAGCATGAAGGAGTGGATGTTGTGGTTTTGGGGATCCATGGGTAGTTCTTGGTGCCTTCCATGCCTGCACTATCAACTTCGGATCCCTATTGTGGGGATACAACAAATAAGGCACCCATAAGATTGGATAGTACGAAGAAAAGAAGTAATATGAGGAACATGCTATTCATCTTTTTCTCAGGGAAGCCTAGCTTGCTCCTTATATAGGACTTGGTGGTAGCATTGAATCATAGTCATGGATCCTCCGGGTTCTGGTAGGTCAATAGTAAAGCATCCTTTGATTATGGGAATTTAAGCAAATGACAAATGACCTATATTTTTTTTCTTTTTGAAAAGGAATCACTTTATTTAACTTTCAACATCCACATTAAGATGATGCACCTAGCTAGCACACAACTTGTTTGTTACAAAGTTCATGGAAAATAAAGGTTGTCGACTAATATTTCGTCCCCTAAGAAAGGATGCTAAGTAGAACCAACGCCACATTATCCAAATGTCACGTTGCATTGTGCAGACCCATGCCTTCCTTGAGTCGCATGAGACCTGCTCAATGGTCTCCCCTTCATGGATTTTGAGATGGACACAGTTTCACATGGAACAAATATCATGACAATATTTGGCAAAAGAAGGCCCTTTTGGTTGTTCCCCAACAAAAAGCCATTATGATAATACTTAGAAAAATGACATTGGAACTACTCCCTCCGAGCAAAAATGCAGGTGAGTTTTGGATTTGAAAGGTAAAAAATAATAAGTTTCACCATTACTATAGACCTAGTTAAATACCGTGCATTGCCATGGAATATGAGATAAAATATACAATATACATGTTGTTGAATGAATTCATATGCTTTGTTGCGATGAAACATTTGCCATCTAGTGTTGCCCCCCTTCGCCATTTTGTGTTGCTCCTCAATTCAAGTGATTATCCATCGGCTTTCCATTGACTTCAACGATAGTACGAAAGTACGTGGCCAATCTCATAAAATACAGATTGCTTTGCTCGTCAAATTCATCTCCGCCCCAACAGTTATGCTCATGGTCATCTAACATGAACACATTATTACAGAACCACAATAATAGGTTGCCCTCGACTAATAAGCTCATGGTCATCCAACATTTTTTTTGCGAAATCATGGTCATCCAACATGAACACAGTATTATAGAACCACAATAATAGACTTGAAATTAGCTATCAACATTTCCACTTTGTTATAAAGAAGATCTTTTCAAACTCATGAACATTTTTTGAATTCCTGAAAAGTTTTTGAATTCATGAACATTTTTTGACTTTTCTGATATTGTTTTTTTAATTTCATGTTTAAAAGAAAATCATGAACACTTTTAAGAAATCCCATTTTTTTAAAATTCAAGCACATTTTTTTGAAATTCGTGAACATTTTTTCAGAATCACAAACATTTTTAAAAATCGAGATTTTTTTAAAGTCACAGTTTTTTGGAATTCATGTTTTTTCTATTCACGAATATTTTTCCATAGTTGTGAATATTTATTGTTATTTGAATTTAAAATAAAAAAATAAAAAAGGAAACTTAAAAAATGAAGAAAAGAAGGGACGGCCCGCACCCCCGCACTGGTCGGGGAATAGGAGCTCCTCGAGCCCCGTCCGGCCTCTTCCTCCGGCGGTACCAGTAAACCCTCGCCCGTCTTCCTCCGTTCGCCGGCACCACCTCACGTCGCCATGGCCGGCGGCGGCGGCCCCCCGGGCTCCAAAAAGCGGAAGCGCGTGGCGGCGAGGAGGTCCAAGGTCAAGCGGGCCAAGGGGAAGAAGCCCTACGAAGCCTCCGCGGCGCGCGGCGGCGGCGGCGGCGGCTCCAAGGAGGAGCCGCAGCCCGTTACCGCCATGGACGAGCGGGTCGCAGCCGAGGTATGGACATGGTTGGAGCATGGGAATTGGTTTAGAGCATGGGCTGCTTGACTTTGAGCTGAAACCGGAGTCTTGACTCTCTGGCAGGAGATGTCCGAGTCGAGGGAGCCCGATTGCAACCTCGATAAGGTAATTTTTGCTTTCATCATGTTTAAAGTAGCATCAATTCCTGTATGTGATGCCATAATTTGATCCCGGCAGACGAATTGCAATTCCTGCTTCTGCTTGAATCGCCAACTCTGTTCATGATGATTCAGTACCATATTTTGGGCAACTCTAAGTTTGACTGCTCACGGCACCTAAATTTTAACAGGAACTGAAAGTACTATGTGTGAAGTTGAGATACCATAACATGAGCACGAACAGGAGAGGCAGGTAAGTGTCACTATCAAAGTCTTGTGAGTTGTGACATATGTTCAAGTTCTTATGCACATGGATTTGTCATCTGTGCAGGCTAGTTACCGAGGCTCTCCGTAAAATGGATGGGAAATATTTGGAAATTGCTAGATCCCCTACCGCATGTGTTCTTCAAGTGAGTTGATGATATTCATTCTCTATGAACTCGTTGCTTATGGTGTTTTGTTACTTATCCTGATAGCCACCATTTTTTGCCAGTTATGTGTGAAGTGGTGCTCACATTCAGAGAGGGATCCTGTTTTTGTTGCTCTGCAGCCACATTTGCTCGATCTTTCTCTTAATGAACACACTGTTTTCCTTGTGCATAATATCATAAAAATGGGTAAATTTCTCTACGATTCGCTAATAACTCATATGGGTTCATATGTGAGAATGTTGCTTGTTTGTTTGATTACCCTTAGCTTCACTAACACACCTCTTGTTTGTGACTGCAGCCACTAGAAAACAGTTTGCCTCGTTCATCTATTCCCTTCGTGGGCATGTCGCTTCCCTTCTTTGTCACACAATAGGGGCGGCAGGTATGTGTTATTGTCACAAATGGGTAGGAAATCGTCATGTATAGGAGCGGCATGAGTTAATTGTCGAATGCCATTGTATGCATCCGTTTTTATTTGCTATACAAATGGGGTACATGGTAATCTCACATTGAGATGCACTCTTTCTTGCAGTTCTTGACCATGCCTTTTGTCAGGCAACGCGACCTCATAAAAGAAGTTTGTTGTTGGAATTGTACTCCACTGAGCTTCAGCTGTCCAATGACCTGAAAGAAGAAAAACCATGCAGGTTCAGGTTGGCACGCTATAATGTCTTGCCATACATCTGCTTTGAAGTTTCCCCTTAACATTTGTTACTTTTCTGTACAAAACTTAAACTTGGGCGGAGGGAAATATTATTGTGGTCATCCACTTATCCTGCCACAGGTGGCTGAAGTTATTTGTTTAGTTCAATATACTAAAATTCAACTCTCTTTTTCAGTTTGCTAAACATAATTTCCAAGCTTGGACTACAGAAATCATCTGTCCTGCAGCATATGACTACTGTTGTCCAGCCAGTTCTGGAAAAGGGTATTGTTGAGTATTCCATAGTACACACGGTCATATTGGAGTACTTAACAATTGCAGATAAGGTAAATGTATTTTATTGACGTGATTGACCTATCTTTATAATATAGCTTTCCTTTGTTGGTGAAATGTTTCTTCAGCTTATTGCAGTATCTAATATATGCATGTTCTACGTAGACATCAGCCTTGGACGTGATTCGTCAATTAATCCCCCATCTTACTCAAGGGACATACGCCGTAGATGAACTATCAGGTGTCGCCAGATTTCTAGGGAAATCAGAAGTGGAGAAGAAAAGATCTTCAAAACCACTTCTCATTCAGATCATGCAGACGAAGGAAGGATTAAAATTAGGGCTTGCTTGCCTCAAGCATGGCCTTGCGGAGGTACATTGTCTGTTTTTTTTTCTCTTTCTGTTTTCTTATTGTATATTAAGAGACAGATTTCAGACGGATCACTTGCTTTAACTTTGCCCACTCATCTGTTTTATCCTATGTTTATTTATTAACTTCTGTAGATTCCAGAGACACTAAATAGTCATGCAAATTGAACTGTGCATTACTTAGTGCCTCACGCTGCATATTCTGTAGTATATTTCTTCTCGCTTATTTCCATTGTGCTTTTGCCATTTAACATTGTAATGCATTTCAGGATAGGAAGAGGATTATCAAAAGCTTGAAGGGGAGGATTATGAAGCTTGCTCTCAGTGATTATGGATGCCTTGTAAGTGATGTCTATATATGTAATATATTTTAGTGTTTAAATAGGATCGTACTGTGTGAATTGTATGCTTTAACCTATACAAACATCCTCCCAGTGCACAGTAACTTCAGATGGTTTTATGCTTCCAAGCGATTAATCCTCAACTGAACTAACATGCTTTTTTCCTCCAGTTCGTTATTTGTCTTCTCTCCATTGTTGACAACACAGAACTTGTTACTGAGGTTAGTCAGCACCAATCGTTTGCTTGAAGCAATTGTTATGCTGCCATTACAAGCAATCTGAAGAGACAATGCTTATAGCTTGCTTTCAATATTTATAGGTTGTAATTGATGTGTTGAAAAAGCAGTTAAAGGAACTCATATTCGACAAGGTAAAAGCAATTCCAAGCTTCTGATGTGCTTATTTTTATTTGTCAGTTATATGCACATGAGACTATTTATGATGGAGCTCCTTGTTGAACAGAACGGGAGACACCCATTGCTGCAGCTCTTTCACCCACTTTGTTCACGTTATCTGACTCTGGGTGAATTGTTTTATCTGAATTACAACGTGCCTTCCCTTGTTTCAAAGGCAAGTTACCTATTCTATTAACTCGTAAGTACTTTGAAGAGAAACAGCCCCCCTGAAATTTGCTTTTTTTTGTTCAGGTTAACTTTGGTAGTAAGTTGGATGATGTAGCTGACAAAGAACATGGGGGTTCAGAAGACACACTGATTGCATCTGATAGCAAGGAGGACCCGATTAAACGGCGGCAAGAACTGTTGGTGAAAAGTGAGCTTTATGAGGTGATACTCAAAACATGTACTCCCTCCGATCTAAATTAATTGTCACAACTTTAGTACAAAGTTGTACTAAAGCTGCGACAATTGATTTGGATCTGAGGGAGTATTTAACTTTTGATTTATTTATTGAACGGCATTTCTCTTGGAGCATGTACTTCTTCCCCTCAAGAGATCTACATTTATTCTCGCAGCAGTGTAGTATATAGTGTAAAAAATGATCTTATATTTTGGGACGGAGGGAGTATATATAGTCGCAACCTTACCATGCCCCCATCAGTCACATAACACCCCTGATCCCAACATTACCATGCTCCCGTCAGACGCGTAACCCCTAATCCCAGCATTAATGTAGGTGTTCTTTTTTCCTTTGCAGGTTCTCATTGAGACTTGCATTGAAAATGTTGGACAGTTACTTCGAACAAACTTTGGCAAAGATGTACTATATGAGGTAATCTCCTTTGTTTTTGGTGTACACTTAATACAAATGACTCTTAATACGAATGAGTAGTCGACTATTGAAGAGCGTCATGATTGCACATAATTTTGCTTTATAAGAGGTACTGCTGTTATGCTTATGGAGGTTCTGTATTGCCATTTTCCAAGGTTTCTGTAGGTGGAAAAAATAACTTCTTGGAGGGGGTCACTGACAGGATCCACGTACTTCACAATGCTATAGCTTGTGACGCAGCACGCCCGAGGACAGATGACGGTGATGAGCACGCCTTTGATAACTACCACTCCAGCCGCACAATCAGGAGAATGATACTTGATTGTCCTGCATTTGCTGCTACCCTCTGGAAAACAGCCCTCGAAGGGAAATGCAAGTTATATGCAGATGGATTCAGGTACTTCAAAATGACTCATCATCGATATGTCAGTTCTTTAATCTGTTCATCAAATTTGTGAACCATGCAAATGCAACAACAACAAAGTCTTTCAGTCCCAAACAAGTAGGGGTAGGCTAGTGTTGAAACCCATAAGATGTTGAAACCAAGTCATGGTTCTGGCACGTGAACCATGCAAATGCGATGAATAAAGTTTCAACTATTGGTTGCAATTTACATACTACATTGCACTGGTTAGGTGATATTTTGAAGGACAAACAAAGGAATCACACGCTGATATTCTTTTGAATTTGTTGGTTGCTGCAGCTCCATGGTGCTGGCTGCCTATCTGGAATCTCCAAATTCCGGGGTGAAGGATCTTGCGAAATCCGAGTTGCAACCGCTCATCGACGGTGGCATACTGAAGCCCCAGGACCATAAAGCAGAGGAGAAGTGAGTTTTCTCGCCATCGCCATCGTCAGCGTCATACTTGAGGCGTATGTTGACTTTTGTCAATCATGTAGCCGAAATATAGTTAACACACTTCTTACGTTCATTGGTGAGGCTTGCGTACGCTTTGACCGGCTTAAGGTGAGGTACAAGCGCCTGCGTTGCCATAATTGGGCAGTGGCAAGCTCATGTGGCTCGCATCTAGCAAAGAACTTACGAGTAGGTTAGAGCATTAGTGTCTAGTCCACTTTCGAATATATTGTGGTGCAAGGTGCCTATTTAAGTAGTAGTTTATTGCTTTCTCTGATGAAAAAGGAGGTTATTCTTTCATTTGTGGTTTTTTAGGAGCATCCCATACCATGCTGCCTTCGTTTCCATAATTGGGCAATGGAACCTCATGTGGCTCGCAACTAGCAATGAACTTACCCTTGTTGCCATATTTTCAGGTCTGCCATGGAGTGTAGCTCCGACGAGTCGTCAGAGCTAAGCGATACAGATACTGGCTACCATGCCAAAAAAGCATACAAGGATTTGAAGTCTGGCAAGCTCGTGGCGAGGTTTGGCACTGACAGGTTTAGATGCCCGTTCTGCCCCGAGAAGAAGCAGCTGGACTACCGTTACCGTGAGCTGATTCGGCATGTCATTGTCGTGGGTGCATCCAGGCGTCCTTGGAAGGTGAGGGCAAACCACCGGGCCCTGGCTAAACATCTCGAGACGGACCATGCTGATGCACCAGGCTCATCCTCAATGCCTCTACGACAAGCTGAGGCACTGTACCTCTCTAAAATAAAGAGAAGTCAAGCTGGGGCAAGATCTACCTGCAAACTAAGCAGATAAGCTGCCGCCTACCTTTGCCCCCACTACTACTCGCGATCTGGAAAACCAAGAGGCAGAGCAAACTATTTTAGGCAGACACAATCAAGTCTACATAAACATATCTTTTACAAAGCCATTTCCATTTGGAAAGGCTCTCTTTTTTAGAACATGGAAAAATATTGGCACATGCAAGTAACACCTACCTCAAAATCACTCACAAGAAGAGGATATCGCTGCCAATTATTGCCTTACAATATATGGCCAAACTACCTTGTAATATAAAGAAAGCAGAAGGAATTAAGCAATGCAACGTACATGCGGTGTAGCATTCCCCTCCAATGAGGCTGGAGAAGACGAACAAGGACACACGTGGAGTCGTGGGACCAGCACAATGTGGAAGAAAAACTCCGAGAAGTAGGCATGACTCCCCAGAGAAGAAGAGTGAGTTCAAGTCATAGAACCAGATGGTTTCCATGTCACGATGCTACACGGTAGCATTAAAATAGTTTCTGTTCAAAATAGGAGCAGCCCATGGAATGGCACATCTAATTCGAGTGAGAGGGCCGAGACCCCCCCTCCCTCCGCAACCCCCGCACTAGTGGGGTTCAACATGGCACCCCCCGGGTTCGGGTAATGCTTGCCCAGACCTGTACCCGTCTCTATATTTTTCGTCCAAACCCATACCCATACATCGGGTTTCAAACTTTTTCGGTACCCGTACCTGGGCGGGTGCGGGTAATACCCGTGGGTGAAAATACCCATCTCGGCTACCTTACCCAATTCACACTTCACCATGTATTTTTCAGCATTTCCGTATATATGCACAACATTTTAACATGTATACTTCAACATTTCAAATATACACACCACATTTTAGCATGTCAGCACATATATTTCACGATTTACCGTGCGATTGAATAAGAAGAATGGTATTATTTCGGAAGTGGATAACAATAAGCATGAACTAGATGGCACTAAACAATGTCCAATTATATTCATGGATGAGTAGCATGTAAGTGAAGTTTTTAGGGAAACATTCATATATGTTATCTTTTCTCAATTACGAGACAAATAAGAGGGACATAATTTTCTCTATTGAAGATGCTTCTGGAACCTCTAAATGATAAAGTGAAAGAGACTATATAATAAGATCAACAAAGTCAGAAGCAAAATCATGAGTTTACAAAACATGATCAACACATTTAAACATGACCCTGCACATGGGTAAGGGGAGGAGATTTTGAGTCGAGGCTTGTATGCAGGTACACGGGTATGAGTATAGCCTTCCCATACCGGTACAGGCCTTACCCGATGGGTACAATTTTTTTCCCATTTATAAACCCACGGGTAATTATTTTTTCCAAACCCTTACCCTAATTAATAGGGTTTTTACCTGTAGGGTTCGTGGGTACCTATTGCCGTGTTGAAGTGGGGTGACGACATTGCAGTGACATCCCATGGTTTCTTCATGCTCGACGGTGTCTTGCTCTGCACTGCACTCTGCTTTTTTAGCTTTGCCCTCTTTGTTTCTTTTTGTGAGGACTGTCTGATTTTCTTTTATCTGCTTTCTAAGATAATTTCATCGACGCTTTCTATCATTTGGCTGTGTGGCTTTATTTATAAAGCGGGGTGCAAATCTGTTTCGAGAAATTCAGTTTCCATATTAGTCTTTTACTAATTTTCAGTCTAGTGATTAGTTTAGAAATGTCTGTAATTGTTAACCGCTAGAAAAGCTGGTTTGCTTTGTCATCCATTACAGACGGTAAATTTGTAACATATTGTGCAGAATAATGCAGTGTGAATTATGAGAAGTGGGTAGCCTAGCCTTTCAGTGAGCGGGAGAAATATGAATAAAGATCTTCTGAGCTGTATCGTGTAGTAAAACGTGAGGGAGTTCAAAATGAGAATCCGACTGTCTGCTGTCTGCTTCAAAATGAGAATCTGACTTCAAAATGAGAGGAAAAAGAGCGAGTTAATTGGTGCTGTCTGCTGTGACCTGTGAGGCTGTGAGCATATCATATCACCAAGGGCGGTTCGCCCTCGTGGCGTGCTCCGGCGCGGTCCTGACCTGGTACACCGGCGACTCGCAGCTGCCGTTTGTGCACCAGCTCTCGTGGTGCTGGCCCGCGCGGAGCTCCTCCTCCTCGAACGGCCGGCACTCGGCGAACGACGGCGGGGGCCGGGCGTGCGGGTAGTCCGGGAAGCGCTGCCTGTCGGACGGGTCGAAGAGCGGGAAGGACTGGCGCCTGCGCGCGCCGGCGGCGTTGGCGCGCAGGCAGCCGTCGATGACCCTGCACTCGTCCCGCAGCCGGTTCTGCACCTCCCGCAGCGCCTGCGTCGGCGCGGGCGGCCTCCTCCCGCCGCCACCCTGCTGCTTCGCGACGGAGCCACGGGCCTTGTTGTGCTGCTGCTGTGCGGACGCTGCCTCGGACGACGCCGGCGTCCTCCTGTCGCTGGCGCGCCGCCGGGTGGGCGCGCAGGGCGTCGTGGCGGCCCTCGCACGGTCATGGCACGCGGCGCAGAAGGCCGTGGCCCGCTCGGCGTCGAAGTTCCTCCGGCGCGCCTTGTCCGTCAGGCACGCGTGCGCCTGCGCAACGAAATGCACGCCACGTCAGCGCACTAATACACAGTACAAAGACTTATTTAACCGTTGATGCAACATTACCATCACGTTTGAACTAGTAAAATAATTGTAATTAATCAAATTGAATTGCGCATTCAACCGGAGTTGGTTGGCCTAAACAACAACTCGAATTCGAAGGTGGCCACGATCACGTAGACGTAACTGACGGATCCTCATGGACGACGGATCGATCAAGGTAACAAACGAACGAACAAACTGCCAATCTCTTCCCGTGCGTTTCGGGGCGATCGCAACAACCTACCACTACTCGAGTGATCATCGTCGTTATAAAACTAGTAGGAGAAATGACAGAAAGGCAGCAGCAACAACATAGAAAGGCAAAGATTCCAAGTGAACCGCAACGCAAGATCATCATGAAAAGGGATGGCACCAGTAGCACCGCCCGACCCAATGCGCGCGCATGCGGAGAGGCGTGCGTAATTACGTACTGTACCTCGGAGACGAGCTTGAAGGCGACCTCCGCCTTGGGGTGCCTGTTCTTGTCCGGGTGCAGCTGCAGAGCTGCACATCACATGAATCAATCAATTTTATTTACCACCGTCAGTGTACAAATGTACGATCAGTAATTAAACGCGGCGATCAACGGTGGCGTGATGTATGCGTACCGAGGTGCCGGTACCGCCGCTTGATGGCGTCCTCCGACGCGGCCTCGCCGATCTGCCATACACGCAGGAGTTAATTAATTAACACGTCCTCCGAAAACAGAGGCGCAGCGAGGAGGGGGAAAGGCGTGCATGCGTAGGTATTGCATACGTACGGCGAGGACGAGGTACCAGTCGACGAAGATCGCGCGGCGCGGGGAGCGGCGGCGATGCGGGCAGGACGAGAAGGCCGCCGACGCCGCGCACACCTCGCGGGCCGCCTGCGCCTTCCCGGCCGCGTCCGCCATTGGCGTGACCTGCCGAGCCGGTCGATGGATCGACGTACGGCGGAGCCGAGCACGCGCGCGTGTGTGGGTGATCTCTGGTCAAGCAGTTTGTCTGTGTGAAGAGAGGTTTTTGTTGGCGTGACTTGTGCGCCTGGTGGAGTGGGGGTGGGGAGGAGATCGAGGCGAGAGGGAGTGGGAGTGGGAGGGGCGGTTCCGAGGAGGACGAAGGAGTGGAGCCGGAAAGAGCGGGGATTGCGGGTGCATGCAAGTCGTGTCGCCTGCCAGCTTTTTTTCGAAATTACCAGGAACAAAAAGCCCTGGCATCGCGTCTGTTGCATCAGAAATCGAGATCTACACGACCAAGCCAGCGCGCTCGCTGCTTCCCTCGGAACAAATCTTCAGGGACTTGCACAGCGTGGCAATGCGGATGCGCTGAGCTTCTGCGTGTCCTGCTTTTTCCGGCATTGTGGCACTCCGCGCTGGAAGATGCAGGTCGCTGCGCTTCGAGTCAACGATGGGATCGAAGCAGCCGATGGTGACTTTCTGATTGTAGCACTAGAAACCTGGTGAGGTGGCAGCTGGCGATTTCCTCGTCGGCGTAATTTCCGGTGCCTCCTACTCACACCCTCAAGGATTCATGGGTAATTTCCGGTGCCTTCCATACTTACACTGATTCAAAGTTGTGTTGCGTACAAAATGTAAGATTGGATAATTCTAACAGAAAGAAGTACACTGGGAGCATCCTATTCATCTTTTGCTTAGGAGTGCTTGTTGGATTATGGATGGGTTTAGGTCTATATAAGACACTAATCCCTGATTAATCTTGAGGCCCATGTATGAGATGGCAGGTGGTGCGAAGTTTAGTCCCACCTTACTAGTTGAGGAGAGTTGAGACCCCTTTATAAGGGTTGCTCTACCACTTGCCATTGGGAGCTTGGGAAGAGGAGTGGTACACGCGTGCTCCTCCTCCCCCGCCGCCCGCCACGCCACGCCACTGCGGGTTGCGGGAACGAGCCGAAGCTTATTTTTGCCGCTCAGGAATGAATTAATTAATTAGGGATTAATTAATGAGTCGCTAACATGTGGGCCACTGTCCAAGACGCTGGACTGTGGGCTGACTTGCGTTGCCGGGATTCGTCGACTCCCTTGCCGGGGATGCGACCCTTGCCGGGACCCGCGTATTCGCCGACTCCCTTGCCGAGAACAACGACTCCCTTGCCGGGAGTGGTACACGCAACTGCTCCCGATCCATCCCCAACTCTGTTCGCCTCTACTTCCACTACTTCCTCTGCATCGACACCATGGCCAACGACGCCGCCGCTAAGAAGAAGGCCGCGGACGACACCGAGGCTGCTGCTGCAGCCGCTGCGTTGGCCTGGCCAACCGGAGGGTATGATCTATTCATCCCTCGTTTACTCGTACTTATGCTAGCCGTATATGTGCTGCTCATAGAAGGTTCGATTCTATGTTCTGCACGTGCTAGTATGCTTAGGTATCGCTATGAGATGC